CATCCTGGCTAATCACAACCCGTCCCCAAACAAAAAAATTCACGAGTATGGTCATACGAGGCAAAAGCGTTTGTTATGGTATTTGACTTTGAGAACCCCCCAGGGTCCTGTCGGCTGCAATCTCAATTGCCTGTAATCCCAGCATCTCGGGAGGCCGAGGTATGGCGGATGAGGAGGTCAGGGAGACTTCAATGACCTTCCCTGGCTAATGAGGTTTCACGGGATCAAGACCATTCCTTGGCCTAACTAGGCAGGAGATCAAGACCATCCGGCTTATGAGGTCAAGGAGATCAAGACCGTCCTTGGCTAACAGGGTGATAACTCCCATCTCTACTAAAAAATAACAAAGAAAAAAATTAGCGTGGCTCACACTTGTAATCCAGCACTTTTGGAGAGGCTGAGGCGGGCGGATCAAAAGTCAGGAGATCATGACACGGTGAAACCGCCGTCTCTCTGAAAAAAAAAAATACAGAAATTAGCCCGGCGCGCGGGTGGCGGGCCCACCTGTATCCCAGCTACCTGGGGAGGCTGAGGCATGTGAGATATGGCAGGAACTCCGGAGGCGGAGCTTGCAGGTGAGCCGAGATATTCTCGATGCCAACTGCACTCCCAGCCAGTGGGACAGGAGCGAACCCCGTCTCAAAAAAAAAACAATAAAGAAAAAAAAAGAAAAAAAAATTAGGCTGGGCGTGGTGGTGGTGCTGTTAGTCCCAGGTACTCGGGAGGCGAGGCAGGAAAGGCAAGAACCCGGGAGGAGCAGCTTGGCAGTAAGCCCCGAGATCAAGACACCTGACATCCAGCCTGACGATAGAGCAAGACTCACCAAAAAAAAAAAGAAAAAAAAACAAAAAAAGCAAGAACCCCTGGAGTCAACGAGCTATATCTCTAGCAAGGTATCCTTTCAAGGTTTTGATCATTGATCTATATGAAAGAAATTATTGCGTCATGTACTGATATTTACATTTCAAATGTAAATAGGACCCATCTTAATAATATTCAATGGCTAACCCTACCAATGAAACTTAACCGGGGTAGCTATTCCACTCCCTCCCTCCCTCCCTCCCTCCCCTTCTTCCCACCCCTTCCTTCCTTTCCTTCCCCCGGCGGTTTCTTGTCCTCTACTCTCTCTCTGCCTGCCTTCCTTCCTTCCTTTTTTTTTGAGATGGAAGTCTCGCTCTGTCACCCCCCGGCTGGAGTGCAGTGGTGCAATCTCGGCTCACTGCAACCTCCGCCTCCCGGGTTCAAGCGATTCCTCCTGCCTCAGCCTCCTGAGAGTAGCTGAGACTACAGGCACATGCCACCATGCCCTGGCTAACTTTTTGTATCGTAGTAGGGACGGGGGTTTCACCGTGTTAGCCAGGACGGTCTCGATCTCTCTGACTTCATGATTCACCTGCCTCGCGGTCCTCAAAGTGGCTTAGGATTACAGGCGGGAGCCACCGCGCCTGGTGTGAGATGCAAACATTTTTCTTTAGTTTATTTTTTGCTTTCATCATCATCCTTTGTTTTATTTACTTATTTATTTACTTTAATTTTTTTTTTTTTTTTTTGAGATGGAGTCTCTTGCTCTGTGGTCTGGGCTGGAATGCAGTGGCGCAATTCTCCTGCCTCCAGCCCTCCCGGAATAGCTGGGATTACGAGGTGCACGCTCACAATGCCCGGCTAGTTTTTGTATTTTTAGTAGGACCGGGTTTTCACCAAGTTGGCCAGGCTAGTCTCCACCTCCTGACTCTACAAGTGATTTGCCCATCTCGCCTCCCAAAGTCCTGGGACTACAGGCATAAGCCCACTGCACCCAGCCTCAATATCATCATTTCTTTTGTAAACAAC